CTCCGCCCGCAGCATCTTCCATTGCACCAGCCTGACCTGCTCAGGGCCTGCAGCACTCACTGTTGGGTGCCCACCAGTTTAAGGGTTTCAGGTCAAGTTTCTAAGAGCCTATATTTTTAGTAAATCAAGAGCATTGAAGTTTCCGGCTGTAATGTGCCCTGATTCTGAGGAACTTGTCTGCCCCAGCCAGCTAAACAGCTTCTCTGGGCAGTTCTCACCCTTACCCTGAACCCTCTGAGCTCCAGGCGGAGAACACTGTTCCAGGGGACACAGAGATGGGCCTCCATCCCTTACCTTTGTACAGCATAACATATTTTGCAACATTCATCTGTTTCCATTGTCATTGAATTCTTACAAAATTGTGTGAAGTAAGTGCTATTATTAGTCAAATTTTACAGAGAAGGAAACTAGAATAAGTTAGGAGACTTGCCAGAGTCCACAAAGCTGGGGAGGAGGAGAAACGGCTTTGCTCTGCAGCCACTGACGCTGCCTGCTTATGTCTGCATCTCCTACTTTACTGTGGCGCTAATGGTTTTTTAGAGAAGTGCTGCTCTTTTGCAACTCCGTGCCTTTGCATTCGCTCTTGTCCCTATATAGAAAGTCCTTAATCCTTTTTAAAGAAAATCAATCTTAATTTTAAAGTAACTTAAAAATTATTTTTATCAAATTAATATGTGTACATTATTTTAAGACTTCAAATTATACCAAAAGGCATATATCAAAATATAGCAGTTCACCCTTCCATCGGTATGTTTTCCTAGAAGCAACTGTGTTCTGCTTTTAGCTACTCGTTCTGGTGTGTATGCATTTCCATTATGCTAAGTAATATATGAATACTGCTGACTTTTGAGTCTTCATATTAAATGCTGTTTAGTCTTCCATTTATGAGAGATAAGGAATTAGCTCTCTTTACCATAATTTTCTCAGTTCCCCTCATTTATCATCTCAATATAGTTGATATACTTTTGCTTAAGTTAGTATTTATTGTTTACCTGGTCACGCTTATGCAGTGTTATTCATAACCAAGCATTGTAGTATACTATGATTGTATTTCTTCTGATTTTTTTTTTTTTTTAGGTTAGTATTTTCTTTACTTTTTGGTATCTATTGCTAATTTTTCTTATACTTTCTATTAGCATCTTAATACAGTTTCCTGCAAGGTCACTGCCATCAGTATTCTGTCAGTTACTTTCCTTGGAGATGTCCCTCTTGCAGATCTTCATTCTTCTTCTGTTTGAACTTGTGGCCTCTTAGGCCTGGGTCTTCCCTTTGCTTTTCTCTTGGGTTTGATTTAGTTTACTGAATGTCATGTCTTCTTTTTTCTTGATTTATTACTCTCTGGCTTTATTAAATGACACCCTCCAATAGTTTTGTCAAGTCCTAAGGGTGGTACAACAGCGGGAGGCATTGTGATGACCAGTTCTCAGCCTGTTTCTCCTCTGAGTCATTCTGCTCCAATATCATTCAGTTGCTCTCTGTGTCCAGCGCATGGTTGACATCCTAGGATCTCCCTTCACTGTCATTTGGTAAATTTCCTTTTGTCCTCTCCTGTGATGGATTTCCTGTGTTTTGTATTCCACATTTTTACCTTGATTTACATTTTTGTTTTGGTAGCTTCCTAGGAAGGGTACATGAGAAGTAAATGTTAGATAACTTGTGTCTGAAAATGTCTTTTTTTTCTACTTTACCCTTGATGGAGAGTTTGGTTGGGTATAGAAGTCTAAGTTGAAAATAATTTTCCATCAGAATTTCGAAGCGATTTCTCCATTGCCTTCTTGCTTCTAATGTTGTTGTTCAGAGCAGGAAGACAGTTTGATTCCTAATACTTTGCATGAGACCATCCCCCCACCCTACCCGCCATCTCTGGAAGCTTGTAAGAATGTTCTGCTGTTTCATAACGATGTATCTTGATACGGGTCTCTTTTCATCCTGGGGCGTGCTTGGACGCTTTCTATCTGGAAACTGAATGCCTTTAGTTCTGGGAAATTTGAGATTATTTTGATGTTGATTTCTTCCTCTTGTTTTCTCTGTTCTTTCTGGAATTCCTGTTATGTAGACATTTGTTCTGAAGGACTCATTCTCTTATTATACTTTCTTTCCTTTTCGTCTATTTGTCTTTTTGCTCTACTTTCTGGGAGATTTCCGCACTATTATCTTTCAACTCTTCTATTGAATTTTTTTTATTTCTAAGGGCTCTTTTAAAATCCTTTTCTGTAGCATCCTGTTGTTTTGATGAATATAATATCTTTTAGCTCTTTGAGGCTAGTAATAATAGTTTTCTAAACGTTTCCTCTCCCTTCATAGCTGTGTTTCTTCCAGTTAAACTTATTTCATTTGTTTTGGTCCATAGTCTTCCATTTACAGGCTCTCCTCTGATATGTATGTGTCTTTGACTAGCAGATAATGATTAAGAGTGGGAGACTAAAAAGCTGATGGGAAGTTCTAAACAAGGAGGAGGGTCTGGAAAGCTTGGGTCTTCCCTGAAGGATGATCTGGGTGGCCACTGTCGAGAATTGCCAAAGTGTTTCTTTAGTCCTTTCCTCTTGGACCAGCAAGATTTCCTAGTGACTAGTCTTCCAGTATCTTGTCTGGAGGGTGAAGGTTTTATGGGAAATAAGCAGATGAGAGTGTTGGGTGGGCTTTTAGTATAAAGTGTTTATTTTATATGTGTGGTTATTACATTTTTCTGTTTTCCATAGAGCAGTCATGCCTCCACTTGCTGGCTTGGCAGCCAGGTAATGTTTTCCAGTTAAAAACCTCACTTTTGGCTGTGTTGGGGAAGAAGCCATCACCCAGTGGTGTAGAGTGGGTGAGGGAATCCAGAGAGCTGATCGTTTTTCAAGCAACCTTTCACTGCTCCTCCTCTATGCCCAGTCCCAGAGACACCTGGTGGCCAGTTCTTATGTTCTTTGAGGATTTTCTTGTGTTCAAAATGTGGGTCTCAGTTTTCCCCACTGCTGGCTTCCCGTCAGCTGTCTTGGGTCTGCTAAGTTGCCACTTGTCCATCTGCTTTCCAGCTTTCACAATGCTGTCACCTCTGTTGCTTGCTTTACATGTTCTCCCCTTCCTTATGTTCTTATATCTTTAAGAAAGAATCTTTTTAGTGTAGTCTTAATGGGTTTTGGGGGAAGGATAAAAATAGATGGTCTGTTCCTTTGGCCTTTTTACCTAGAAGCCTACTTCTTCTTTGCCTGGCATATTCCTTCTCATCTTTCAAAGCTCAGTGCAAACAGCTCATCCTCCAGGAGGTCATCTACAGCATTTCCACGGGAAGCCCTTGCTGTCTTCTGTGGCACAGTTTGTTTATACATCTGTCTCTCCAACAAGACTGTGAGGTCTGTGAGGTTAGAGCACACACCTGACACATTGTGCCTCTTGGGAGCAGGCATAAAGAAGGCGCTCAGTAAATATTTGCCAAATGACCATGCTGTGAACAAAATTCGTAGCTTTTCTATTTTCCACATTTCAGCTGTGGCTTCAGTGCCTTGGAAACAGCAGCTGCTGCGGAGACCTTAGACCACGTCAGAGTGGTCCCTTCTCTCCTTCTCTCCTTCTGTCCTTTGTAGCCATTGACTCAGCAACATGGAGAACCCAACATGAGTCTGACTTACAGAGTCTTGGGGTATTTTATTGAACACTCCCACTGTCATCATGGGAGTAAGCTTTTCCCTCTTTTAGGCCCAACTCAAAGGAGCAAACATTTTTCCCTTTAGTTGCCATGACACCCATGTCTCATGACAACCAATGAGAGCCAGGGCCTTCCGTGCAGGAGCCCCTTCCATGTTGAGATCTATTGCACTACTAATGAGGCTGTGAGTTGTCCAGGGCTCCAGCTATCTCTGACATCCGAATCCTTGTCCACTGTTGTACCTGACTCCATCCTTCTCCCTCCTCACCCCACACATATAAAAGAATCTCAAGTTACCTGAGTTTTATGTAGCAGATTATTGAAAGAGGTCTTCGTGACCACCATAGTATACTGAAATGAGCCATTTCCAATTAGTATGGAGGAAAGAGAAAATGCAGACATAGGAGAGGGGGAAAGGTGATGCAGAAAGCAAGAGAGCAAAAGAAACAGGGTTAGAAGTTGGGCTTCCCCAGTCTGGAAAGGCGGGCAGTGGATAGATGTATGGCGGACACTGGCCTCTGTGAGACTGACGCGGTAATCCGGCTTGTCTCCATGGAGATAATAACCACACTTGCCTCTCTTCCTCCTAC